AAAAAATGGAAGAAACCGGAATTGGTTGGGTAAAATGTAACTTTGATGCGGCCTGGGATGAACAACATGAGGTAGGTGGCGTTGGGGGGTGATTCGAAATGAGGAGGAGTATGTAGCAGCAATGGCGTCACATAACACTAACATTTGCTCCCTACCACTGGCTGAGATGATGGCAGCAAGGGACGCGGCTCTGTTTGTCAAAGAGTGGCAATTCCCAGCTTTGGTTCTTGAAGGTGATGCAATGCTTGTGGCATGACTCAAATATGAAGGAAGTGATGACACCTCACATTTTGGAAACAGTCTAAATGACACACGTTCAATTATTCATTCATTGCCCAAGTGGAAGGTTGAATTTAGGGGAAGGGAGACGAACAAGGTGGCACACAGGCTAGCATGTAACACTGTGACTTGGTTTGAGGAACATCCTGATGTAATTCTTGATCTTCTCTTTGAGGATAGCAATTCCTAATTAATTATGTTGGTGCGGGATACTTTTTTTCCCTTCGACCGGATTGAAAACCCCGATAAGGTTTTTATCGAGACTCTATGTTTGCACCCTATCCTCATTGATGTACGCATTCCATTTGTTATTAATGAATATCGTATCTTTTCCAAAAAAAAAAAAAAAAAAAGAGTTGAAATCAATTTGAAATTAATTCTAAAGGTTTGTATGGTTATTTGTAATAAACCCATTTTTTAATGATAATTTGAGTTGATCCTTTTGTTTTCTATGTTGATGTTCAGCTATTATTTGAGTTGATTTGAGGTTTTTTTTTTCTTATAAATAACGTAAAAATTTATTTATTTATTTAATAAAGGGTAAAGATGAGTCTACAATTTGGAATTAACCCTAAAAGTTGGGTAATTATTTGACCAAAAAAAAAAAAATTCAACATAAGACGAGATTTCTTAAATTAAGGACTAGTACTCGTCATGGATGAATAAGGAAAACAAAAAAGTAGGTAGTTTTCATTGAGGCCAATTGTATAGATTCTCTCAAATGCCGTTCTTATTGCTCAAGGATACAGGCTTTCCTCTTCAACCCGCCACCTGCAATAATGCATCCAACGTTCTTGATCCCTCCTGGCCATGTATATGTTATAGGGGCCGCCTTGGAGCCATACGTGGTCGGGCTTTTCCCACTGAAAGTAGCGAAAGAAACGCGTTGTGTCCCAAACATTATTCTCGAACGTGAAGTTGTAAGTGTTGCCAAATTCGACTATATGGTTGTGCAGATTGTCGTCCCCGGACAAACACTGTACTTGGAGGTCAGCCCTTGAAGGGTCCAGAATGTTTTGTATCTCGACAAGGACCACCCCATCCAGCCGTACCGAGACCTGCCGTGAAGATTGGCAGAGTGTGACGACCACCACGGCAAAGAGGATGAATATTACACGGCTCCTTCAACTATTATGTGACCCAACTCAATCTTTAGAACTTTCCGTAGAGTGATGATTCTTGTGCTTGTTATATATCTATGGGTTTTCTAACTTTAATCCTTGAAGAAAATTGAAATTTAAAATAAACTTAGTGTTAGATTACATATTAATTATAGTCCCTTGATCTATCCTTAATTCAAAATAATTATGTGTATTTTATTCAATGTCTCCCATTAAATATTTAAATTTATTAATATACACATTTTAATTTATTTGTTGACCAAAAAAAGTTTTTTTAATTTATAAATTTTATTAACATTCTTCAAACTTGTGAGACTCAATTAATATACCTAAACATTAGTACCGAAATGTATATACCAAAATGTATGCACCGAAATGTATTATATTAAATTAATGTACCTAAATGTGTGTACCGAAATGTATTATAGTGAATTAGTGTACCTAAATGTTTGTTTTGAAATGTATGTGTCGAAATATGTGTACCTATATGTATACACCAAAATGTATTATAATGAAATTAATATAACTAAATAAAGAAGATAAAGTATATCGAAATATATTGTATAACAAAAATTAATTTATCTAAATGTTTACAACAAAATGTATTACGACGAACGAAAAGAAAATTATAATTATAATGAAATAAAATTAATACATTAAAACTAGGAAGAAAAAGAGAAATAATTAAAACATCAAAATATAATTAATAAATGAAGTGATTAATATATCAAGGGACTAATATATATATATACGCGCGCGCACATACACATACATAAACGGTATATTATCCGATTGAATATGGACCATTAATCGGGTAAATTCTTATTTGATATTTGCGGATTCAATTGTCATCCAAAGTTATTACTTGTTACCATGTAAAACTCTGAGAAATTTGGGAAAATATATCTGATTAATTCATCCCTTTTGTAAGCATTCCATCCATATACATCATGGCCGCATCACTTTTGCTAAATTTTTAGGGTGGGCAATCAAATTATTATTGCTTGGGTTTGAAACGCTACTGATTGGAATCATAATTTATTGATTTGTCAATTTAAGGAGTGTCGGATATTCAGGACCTTTCAATCGTTTGATAGTTTTTTTTTTTTTTTTTTGCCAAAAACACAAAAATCAATATTTGACAGTTGAAAAACCCAGAGCACCATATAATTTAAGGAAAACTAATAAACATGGCTTGAAAAGTTTTAGTTTTAATAAAAAACCATGTTATAAGTTTTGTTTAATGATTAGTAGAAGGCTCATATTAAAGTAGTCGAACTAAAAATGGCCTAACTATAATAAATAATGATTTGTCGATTTTACCCCTAACTTTTTTTAGGTAGAGTTCCAAATTTTGTCGTTAATTGAGTTCATCGTTGTTTTACAGACCTTCTTCTTTTTCTTGGAAACAAAATATAGATTCCCATGCTATTTAATTTATATTTTGTATTATTTCGTTGAAACGTGATCGTCGTTATTATTCATTCAGTATTCGAGGTACTGTTTTTCAACTTTGCTTTGTTAGTGGAGTTTATCGTTTGTTTCTTCAGAAAATAAATTTGAGATTTGTATGTTATTCAATAATAATGACAAGTTACTGTTTCTGGACTGTAAAAATAAACTGTTCTGGAATCTAAATCACTGTTTCTGGATCCAAATGAAATAGACACACTGTTGCTTAAATGTAAGCTAGAAAATAAATAGTGAACTTCATTGTATTTGGATTCAAAGCAAAATAAGCATCATTATTCTTAAATATAATCAACTCATGCATAAAAAAAAAAGAAACAATCAAAGGTTAAAACATAGACTGTTTCTGGAATCTAAGTCACTGTTTCTAGAATTTAAGTCATTGTTTCTGAATTTTGGTTCTTTTATTTCCAGATACAGTGTTTGTTTGTTGTATTTGGATTCAAAGCAAAATAAGCATCATTATTCTTAAATATAATCAACTAATGCATGAAAGAAAAGAAACAATCAAATGTTAAAACATAGACTGTTTCTGGAATCTAAGTCACTGTTTCTAGAATTTAAGTCATTGTTTCTGGATTTTGGTTCTTTTATTTCCAGATACAGTTTTTGTTTGTGCATAGAAAAAACAAACACTCTATCTAATTTTTTTTTTTTTCCAGAAACAGTGTTATGTTTTGGGTTCTCCAGAAACAGTTTTATGTTTTGGTTCTTTTTTTTTTCTATTTAGAAACACTTGATATGTACATACATCACCGGGACCGTAGGTCCTTATTGGATCTGATTGGAATAAAATACTAACACTATAAATTGTTCGTGGTGCAGATAAGAGGATGAGGATGAGGACGATGATGAGGAAGGTGAGGATCAAGGCACGAAAAAGGTAGACAATAGTTTTGGATGGTTTTTTTTTATTAAACTTTGTGCCATTTTGGTTAAATAACATTTTAGGATGGTTTTTGGTTAAATATTTATTAACCCAAGCCATTTTCATTAAAACTCTCTATAATTTATCGTTGTGGCTCCTCTCGTTTAGTTTTACAATCATCTCCATAGCACTTGTAGCTCATTTACTAATCCATAATCAGAATGTGATGAATTGAATTGAGGAGGAATTGAACTGAAAAGAAGTTGGGGTGAGGTAGATTCAGAATCAAATTCCTACAGAAACTGTTTGCTAAAATTTTCAGGAATCAAAGGTAGGATTAGCACTAAACCATAAAATCTTTTTACTAATTCACATGAATTGAAACTATTTTTTTTATTTTTTATTTTTGAACAAACGATATTATCTACACTAAAGGGGAGGGAGTGGGCTTAGACTTACAATGGGTTAGCAATAACGTGAAATTCGCCTTTAGCAAGCATCGAACCAAAGACCTCTCACTAACTTACAAGTAAAGAGAAATATCACTAGACTGTTGTATTAAGTGGCTAAAAGGATGCAAGGTCCCTTAATTTTCCACATAATTGAAATTATTTTATATGCTATTTTTTTTGTATTTATTCATTTTCTAGTAGAAATTTATTTTCATTTTAAATTAACTTTGTGAAAACTTTCTTTTTATTTTTATTTAAATTTTTTTTTTTTTTTTTTTGCTGAGAGAACAAAATTTGGTGTTGGATTAATGTGAAGGGCACCACTTAGTATCACAATCTGATGGTATTCCTCTTCACTTGTAAATGAAAGGTCTTAAGTTCGAATCTCATGAATGACTAATTCCATAACAAATTAAATTGCCCATTGTGGGGCTTAACCGAACTCCTCCTCCTTTTAGTTTAAATATATTGTTACACTCAAAAAATAAAAAATGAGGGTAAGATGAGGAGAAAAAATCCATTCCAAATCTTTCAATTCTTCTGAATGCCCTTACGTAAAGGTACCATTGATGGTTTTATGGTGGAAGTGGAACTAACATGTCTTTGAAATGACTTTTCAGAAGGCTTGCCTCAAAAATTCCAGGAGGCCCATATAGACAAACTTGTAAAACATCTTTTCTTTTCATAAAAAAGGAGAAACCCAACCTTATAAAACATGTTTTTGCATTCAAAATTTCCCGTTCACGAAATTGTGGAAGATGGTTATAAATCTACAGTAAAAGAAGCATTAACCCGACTTCCCCAAGCAAGTACAAAACGGCCAAAATAAAAAATGGCCAAAAAAAATCCATTACATGGAAGGTGCTTTACAATCAAACCAAAAAGAAACTACTACTGAGGTGACTTTCTTTGTACCCAAACGCAGATAGCAGCTCTCTCCCCTTCCATCAATATATTCCGATTTCATTCAGTTTCTTTTTTGTTTTTTTTTCTTGAGGTGACTTTCTTTGAGAGCTAGTTGATATAGTTAATATAAAAACTACAAGGAACTAAATTAAACACTAATGCATAACCTTTCTAAGCTATTGCTTCTCATGTCGCAATCTCATCAACCTCAGAATTAAATACAAAACTTGGAAATGTGGTAGTAATATCCCTGCATTTAGTAAAGAATAAAAATATTTCAGAACTATGAAATTTACGAAACATTGATTTCTATGCATGAGATTGGAAAAATTTGTTCCATACCGAAGATAGGGGAGAGTCATTATCTTTAGTAATGATGGATTCTTTGAGACAAAATTGTTCCATTCATACTTGTCTATCTTCCCATCTTGATTGACATCAGCTTCCAAGAAAGTCTGTCCACAAACATGAGAGAATTACATATCCAGTAAATTTGTGATGCTAAATGATGACGTATTCATAGTCTGATCAAGATCTTAGCACGCGAAGGATGACTCTAAAATGTGTATACTATGAATCTCCAGATTAGTATATCAAAATGCACCTAAATCGGTATATAATAATTTCAAGTCGATCCCAATGGGCTGGCACTAATGAGATAAATAAGGTTAACCATGTTTTAGAGGACAAACAATCTGGAAGGCTTCAATGAGTTTCTGACAAAAAATGTACACTTTTTCAGTCCTCGGGTTCTCAGGCATTTCATCAAAGACAAGTGACAACTTACCTTATCAAGAATTATCTCAATGGTCTCATCAGCCAGCTTCATTTCAGATTCACAAAGAAGTGCAATCAACATTTGTTTGACCTGCCAAAACCAAAAACAATGATCTCCCGTGTATTATTTTCTCTTCAGCTCAGATCTTTTTGCTCAAATTCTTTACTAGCTGCTGAAAATTTTGACTTCCATTTTGTGAGAGTTCTAACAACTTATCTTTACAAATCCTCATCCTTCTTCTGATGTTTATAAGGTTAGCTTAATATAATTTAATTTTCTAACCCATGCGTGTGCAACTCAATCACTACTGCAATAGTGTAATGTGTTGTAGTTCACCCAATGCATAACAAAAAGATACTGGTTAAAGTCCCACTCCCCAAGGGAACACAATTTTTAACCAACCCTGCAATGGGTTCTGATTGTTTTATATCCTAACCCACTTGGGCATCTACCCAGACAAAGCATACAATGTAAAGAAACAGGGAAAAAACACAAAGATGAACACCAATATACCTCTTGGCGCTCAATAAAGCCCGTGCTATCCAAATCATAAAGCTTGAATGAAACTGCAACACAACATAAAAAAAAGTGCAAACTTTAGAATATAGTACAGGCATGTAGAAGTTCTGTGGTACATAAACTAAAAGAAGTCTGCTCTTTGAAATACGTTTAAGATATCTATGCGTCTATTCAACTTACAGTCAATTTTGTCTTCTAGCGAGGCATTGGGATGAAAGACATTGAGTGATCTCACAAAGTCAGTGAAGTCAATCACACCCTTCCGTTTAACATCAAATAGATCAAATATCTGCATGTGGAGTTGGTTCAAGAACAAAAGTCAAAACTTGAACCAGAGCAGAAATTTAGAGAGGAGAATAGTTAGATTCACCATCAGTTATGATTCAGTGAAACAAGGAAATGAATACCTTCAACTACTTTAAATTTAAATTACATCTGGTTATCACTTTAGGCTGATGAAACTCATTAAACAACTGATGCAGCTGCAAAAAGTTGATTGATTCACCACAATACAGAATGTGGATAAATAGATTAAGCATAAGATCAACCTATACATACATGAAAGTTAAATTACCTACCAGTCATCTAATATATGAACTGTTAAAAAAAACCACAAGTTTCGAGAAATTAGTTTTATATGGTTCTGGAAATGTTTTATAATTAACAGCATGATTTCAATGGTTATAGATATAATATAATCTGCACACAAAAAAGCTACGCTAATAAGTAAAGTAATAGATACATACCCGATTTGTGAAGAGATTTTCTTTCTTTCTATTCTTGAAAATGGCTAGCTGAAATTCTTCCTGCGTATTCACCAAGAACACTCAATGTCACATTTTCCTAACAGATATTGGCATATAACAGTTTGTAGTACTACGTTCGTAAATAGATGTTGATCAAGAAGTTTTGACCAGACAAGCATAAATAAATAAAAATAATTTTACACATAAATATGTTAATTTTTAATTCAAAAATGAATTTACAGATATATATTTGCAACCAAACTGTCAAAGCTAAACATCCTGTTACAACATGTAATACACTGCCCAATACAGTTCAACACCATGGAAACTTTCAATTGTAAAATGTCGTTAACATTCACTGTAATCCTGTCATTAGAACATCCAATCCTTTTTCATCCACCTTAATCAAAACTTGAATTTCTACAATAAAGCAGGCTGGGGGAGAATTAGCATGATGGTAGCAAGCAGGTACATACCTTGTTTATCAACCCATCATCAATCACAGAACTGCTGATACTCTTATATAACTCAAAGAGTGCTTCAACTTCACTAACAGTAACTGGGGACCAAAACGAACGCGTTAAATTGGTCTGAGAATGAAAGAGTGAGTTTGTGCATGTGCTAGAGAAAGAAAAGAGATGAAATAATCAGTTTAATTATATTATGATGTTACAATATTTACTGCAACAAAGAAAATGTTGTAGTCAAATGCCTTGATTATCTTTTGAGGTCATAACCAATTAATTGAGGAAGAATATAAAGCTTTAGAGAGGAGCGAAAGTCTAATGCCAATAGCTTAAACTCTGGAGTAACATGAGATCCAGTGGTCTCATATTTCAGACATAAAAGACAAATATAATCGCTGGGAGAAACGAAACAAGTAGGAAAACCTGCTAAATAATAAGTTTAGATCAACAAACTGTGTACAGGGCCTTCATTGCAAACCAAGAGATTACAACAAACTACGGGGCGTAAACAAATAGTCATCATCATTCAAAAGTATAGAAAAATGCAAAAACCACTAATGAAAAAGCAAACATTGAACAACTTACAAGCTGTTTGCGAAGCAAGACTCACTGGATCCTCGTGTCCAGGAAACTGCCGCCTTGCCTTAGAACTAAAGCAACCCATTTAGAGCATCTACCTACCAACACCAAAGTTCAGCTCACCCTCCCCTCCCCTCCCCAGGCCTTATGCCTCCTTTGAACGCAGAAAAAGCAACACATTAGTGAAAAAGGCAAAGCAGTAACTCAGCATCCTTATAACATATCACCAAATCAATCAGAAATAACAGATGTAAAATAAAATAATCCCATAATTATCTTGATTTGTAGCTCTAATTAGTAAAAATCTATTGCATAAATGCACAAGGAGCAGTTATAGCCATCCTTCAACTAGTTCAAAGAAAAAAAAAACACAGTCAATAAGAACTCAATCGTAACGGCCATTCAATACCATTTAAAACAAAATAATTTTTAAATGTTTGCCAAATTGAAGAGGGAAAGAAAATAATAGAAAGTTTGGAATTGTTTGCATGCAAAGTTTCATGACTGTATAGCTCCATTTTTCTCTTCAATTCTTAAAAGCTAAATAAAAAAATCAATTTCCATATTCTTTTGCATATAGCAACCCAATGAACTTGTTGGATTAAAACAAAAAATTGATTTTCCCAGCAACCAAACAAATAATTTCAAGAATATATCAATACGCAGATCACTAAACCCCCCAAAATTTCAGAAAAATCAGAACTTTCTCAAAAGCACACCAAAAAACCAGAAATAAATCGAACCCACAAACAATTAAGCAAAAAGAAGCAAGCTTTATAGCAAACTAAAACGGGAAAGAATGTAAATTGACTTACCGACCAAGAATTTGGCCGGAAAAGCTTGGCTGCCAATTCTGGAGAGGGAAAAGCTAACAACACAGATTCAGAGAGGCAACGAACTGGAAGGAGGCAGAAAAGGAGTGAGATGGGTTTCTTGTGGAGAAAAAGAATTGGTAAATCGGACGGCTGGGGTTGAGTTTGATCACGAACTTCTCGAGAAATTCACGCTGATTTGTCTAAATAAAAGCTTCTACCGAAAGCCAAAAAAGAAAACAAACAGATGGTAGGAGGGGGAGGTGGGGGAGTCCACTGCACGAGGGGTGAATGCGCGTGATGGGATTTGGATCTCATTTTGTTGTTATTAACTTATTGTTGTTGCTTTTTTTTGTTTTGTTTTTGTTTTTTTTTTTTTTTTTAACAAACGCTATTATACTAAAGGAGCATACTTAACTTCATAATGGACAGCAATAATGTGATTTGAATTCGTCTTTTGTGAGAGTTGAACCTAAAACCTTTGAATTACAAATGAAGATAAACATCACTAGACCGTAATACTAATTTTTTTCTTGAACAAACGATATTGTCTACACTAAGAGAGGGTGTAGGCTTAGCCTCACAATGGTCTAGCAATAATGTGATTTAAATTCGCCTTTTGGCGATAATCAAACTTAAGACCTCTCACTTACGCTCTAGTGGTATTCCTTTTCACTTGTAAATGAAGCTAAATACACCTTATTTTCTTAATGTAGATAATATCATTTGGTTAAAAAAAAAAGGGGGATTTTCTTCTTGGTGGGGAAGAAAGGGATGTAAGTTATGAGTTAGGCCTTTGGTGGGGAAGAAAGGGATGTTAGTTATGAGTTAGGCCTTTGTTGGGGAAGAAAGGGATGTTAGTTATGAATTAGGCCCTTAAAACGTGGAATTTTGATAATTCCATTTTAAAATCATGCAAATATAGGAAAGTTAATATAAAATAGTATAACACCTTGATGGTTCAAAGTCCAAGTTTTGCAAATCAAACCACGCAACACATATTCCATCAACTTGACATGTTTGCTCTATACTTGCTAATTTACATTATTGCTCTTTAATTAGGCAATGTTTATTCCTGAAATAATCCAATTGTGACACCCTAGCTATAAGCTATAGCTATATTCTTATTGGACACAAGATTGGCTGTGTAAGTTTATCTTACATTGTTGGTCATAAGTCCAGATAAAAATTAAGGAAGATAACATCAGGTAGTCAACAGCTGGTATCCGTTTTCAGGTCAAATCCCTATTATCATTCTCTCTTTCTCCTCAAATAGTTCAAATTGAAAACCTAGCTAAAGATATTGAGTTTACTGTTAACCAGAAGAACTAGCTCTCCAAGCCAAAACACTAAACAATCAAACTAGAGTTTCCATCAAGCTAATATCTAGCCAAAAGTTATTGTATTTTGACTAAAGTTTCATCTTCTAAGCTCAAAATCTTCCCATAAGGACTTTTATTTCAACTAACTAGGTCATTGTTATCTCAATGTTAAAAAAGGTATTAATTTCAATTTCTCATTTACCCATTAGTTTATAAAATAAAATAAGATTCTTTGTTCTACATAGGGCACTATATTTTGCCTAAATTTGAATTTGGTCACTTTGTTTGATTTTGTTTGTAGTTTATGGTTAGTATTGAAATTATTATAATACTTAAATCCAGTCGAAAAGTATTGTTCACCAGTAGTAAATTGACGATAATAGCCCTCAACTGCTCTTTGTGCCCCGTTTTTTTTTCCTCTTGGTACAATGAAGTTGCGCATTTGTCCATGCTAGCCACAGTGTCCATCATCGTCAAAAGGTATGCTTCCACTACAACCTCTCGACTTTGCCTTCCATTTCCACTTCTCTCTCTCTCTCTCTCGTTCTTGAACTCGCCTTCTACCGCTCTCAAACATCACATTCTCTCACTCTGAAACCAAGACAATTCTGCTCACCACTTCGGGAAGTCATTGCCAAAGTCTACCTTCCAAAAGTTTATTCACGAATTGGATTGCGTAAACTTCCATATTTGCATCATTAGTAGTTCTTATAACGAGTTTAGTCGAACTTAAGGGGAATATCCTGAAGCATACCACATGACCTTAATATTCTATTTTCTCTATGATCACAAGCATGTTTTCCTACTAGGTTTTTACTAACCTGATGAGGTTTTGATGTTGGAATATGCCCTGAAAGTCATTCTTTGGAAGAAACCTTTCAGGACAATGTCTGTATGTATAGATAACTTTAATACAACAAAAGGCAAAGTCACTTATTAGGACTATCTCAATGAATGATATACATCCAAAATTAGTGAGTCCATGGACAATGGATCGGTGGAAGAAGTAATCTAAAGATGTTACACTACAGAGACCTTTTTCACATAACCATAATGTCCAAAAGGTTCCTAGTCATAAAATTGTTAAACGGACTCTGACAATCTGGATGAACTAGTAAGTACTATGTCTGCTTCAAATGGGAAGGATGGAAAGTCTCAAGCCATTCGTGTAGTGACACTAAGATAAGTATGTAGGTGCTCATTAAGGGAATGAGTTCACTGAACACAATCAAACGAGAGTACTTACATGGAGGTCTACTCACATGTCAAGCAAGTAACTCTACTGGTTGGAATAATGTAAGTAATCCATTGACCTGAGACATCATAGTTGTCTTGGGGATACGTTGATGATCATTTGATAATGAGACGTGGCCACATATCATCTTGGATGTGTTCTATGCATTGTTGGGGTCAGTGATTTATTCTCATAGGCATGTGAATGATCAACAAGGGATCTCTAATCCTCATTAAGAGAAGAAGAATACTCTAAGATATGATTCGAGAATTCTCGGACGAAGTATCAAGTGTAATGATGGAAGGCATTCCTATACGACTCAATTGAATCATATGACATAGTTTAATCACATTAGGGGTTTGACATAAAGTATCCACACCCTAGTAATGTGATTGTGAGTATTGTATTAAAGAATGATCGAATTACATTGTAATTCCAACTGAATAGGTTCTCCGACCAAATTCTACATTAGCTTGGCTAGCCATGATATATGGTTAGATGTCACTTATGGTTTGTGGGTTCTTCTAGATGATTAAATAAGTAGTCATCAAAGAAGAAGGAGAATTAAAAGTAAGTTTTAATTCACTAAGTGATTGGATAAATACTAATCAATTGGATTAGTACCAATCACCTCATTGCTCGTTAATTAGAACCTAAAACGATTGTACACTGATACACTCTTGTGGTGAGACAACTAAAGGATGATGGAATTAATTAATTAGTTGGATTAATTAAGTGCTATGATTAATTAGAAAGTCTAAAGAAATCTTAGAAGCAATGAAAGATCGTTTTGGGCTTAAAAAAAAGTTCGGATTCATTCGGGCCCAAACCCATTGGGCTTTTTATTCAAGCATAGGATGACTTGAAATGATAAAAACCCAAAGCCCAAATCAACACTATGTGGCCGGCAAGGATGATGAAAGAAAAGAGAGAAAGTGTCAATTAGTTGACTTACGTCTTTTACCTTTATAAAGGGAGTTTAATGAAAAAAAATTCATTAGGGGTTTTTTGTGTGAACTTTTCAACAAGAGAAAAACAAGTCTCTCTCTCTATACACATACATAGCCGGCCACCAAAGGGAGATATAGCTAATAATCTCTTCTCCTTTTGGTTATTCCAACATCCATCTCACTACACTAGTGGGTGTGGATCTTTAGAGGTCTTCTACTTTGGAGACTAGAGGATAACCAAAGGAGTTCCATATCTATTAAGGTGGAGGAAACAAGGAGGAAGGCTAGACTCAAGGAGTTCCAAGAACAAAGAGCTTGGAGGCGGTCCATCCTTGGTCTAAAGTCTAGATCAAGAGGTATAAAACTCAACCTTCACTTTGTTCTACAATATTTTGTTTAATGCATCATATATGAACCTATGCTTCTTGAAGGGGATTTCATGACTATAGCCTTGATAATATGTGATAATATGCTTCTGTTGCTTATGTATATAAATTTACAATTGTATATGCATGCTAGTCACTAGAAATCCCACATAAATCTCATAATTTCCCTTCATGATGAGGCACCTACTCTAGGTTGGTTGTACCCTTTTATAAGTTAATGATCATTCCGAATATGTGAAACATCAACATCATGTATTAACTCACTTTTCTCCTTAGATTATGGATCTGTCACACTGGGTTTACCAAAGCTAGATATTGGAGTGATTTAACTTTTGATATGCACCACTTGTAAGAGACTCTTGATAAGCATCTATTATACCTATCGAGAACTAATGACAACAATTATCATCTCTTAATCATGAAGACCTAATGCAACTACTTCTAATAGCACGTTTACTAATCCGTAATCAGATTGAGAGGAATTGAATTAAGGGATAATCAGAATCAGATTCCTATTAAAGTTGTTTACTAAAGTATCTGGAATCAGAATAAAATTGGTGTCAATTCCATAAAACTTGTTTACTTATTCAGTTAAATCGGAATTAAAAATAGTATCATTACTAAACTACCCCTTATTATAAATATTTATTTTTCATATAAAGTTATTGGAATTGATTTATATTTCATATCATATTAATTCATAAAATAATTGAAGAAGCTCTTCTTAAGGTAATATTTGTATAAATAAATAAAAACAGCACATCATCTTCTTCCCTTTCTTTAATCCTATCTTTCCCACAGCTTTCCCGCGACCTCCCATATTCACAGGTCCTTCACTCCTCCCTTCAATCCATATCTTCTTCTTCCCCAGCCCCCACAACCATCCCACCACCTCCCGAATTCGCAAATTCACATGCATCCTCATATGTCTCTCTCGTTCTTAAACTCTGCAAGCGACGAGGAGAACTGGGGTTCAGATATGGCCGGAGCCGACGTTCATCCTAGGAAAATTGGTGGGGAAATTTGGAAAAGTAACCATATTTTAGATCTCTTATAAAATTATAGCCATCATTTTAGTTTTATGATAATTCTAACCAAAATTTGACGTAAATGTACTAATATACCCTTACTATTAGGGTTTCTCACAACAAAAACAAAACCTTTTTTAAACTCTCGCAACCTTCTGGTTTCTCACCTTAAACCAGAAGTGCATTCTTTGCTAATTTTGTGTAATTAAGCAGCAAGGATGTTCTGACCATAAAACAAGGTAACAGGACACAGCAGCCTTTTCAAATTGACCAAGAAACAATGGTATGGTTGGTCAATTGTAGCCTTCAATTCCTAAATCAACTTTTTGATATTTCATATCATGGTTTTAATCAAACCTTTAATGATTTTCATAT